AGGCAGACAGTTGTGTAAGGTAATCTGTACACACATTGACATCAAGACTGGGCTCTCCTAACTCTGATAAAGAAAACTTAAAATTTTTAAAGGTAATACTTATGTCCAGACGGTATGGTTCAGTGGTTGAGCACTGACCCATGAACCAGGAGGTCGCTGGTTTGATTCCCAATCAGGACACATGCCCAGGTTGTGGGCTGGATGCCCAGTGGAGGGCAGGCAGGAAGCGGCCAGTCAATGTTCTCTCTCATCGATGTTTCTATCTTCCTCTCCCTCTCACGTCCTCTCTCTCTAAAATCAATAAAGGAAAAAAAAATGTTTTTAAGGTAATAACTTATAAACGATAAAGCACTTTCACAACTGTTAGTTCATATAATCCCCCAAATAACCCTATGAAGCTCAGGTGCTAGTCTTGTTTTCATTTAACAAATAATGGAATGAAGATTTGGTAGAACAAAGTGAAATAACCAGTCACACAGCCAGTATACAGCTGTGACTTGTCCAAGTCCAAGCCCTATACTCTACCCTTATTTCTATACCAGGCATCAGGACTAACATATAATAAATATGCTAATTTAATATAACTATCAATTAATGAATTCATTCAACAAACATATTTTGAATGCCTATTAAGAGCCAGACCTAGGGCAAACCACTACTCTTGAGGAGCTTGCAGTCTAATGGGGAGTTGGACATGTAAGCAGACAAAATAGTAGATAAAAAGTTCTATAAGGCCAAATACACAATGTGAAATGGACACCTAACTGTGCCCAGCATATTAGACTACATTGTTCTAAAGCAGTGGTTCTCAACCTTCCTAAAGCTGTGACCCTTTAATATAGTTCCTCATGTTGTTTGTGGGCGTATCTGCATGTGGGCGGGCCCACATGCAGATGGATAGAGGAGCAATGTCTGGTTCCTAAGACCATCGGAAATATGTGTTCTCCGATGGTCTTAGGCGACCCCTGTGAAAGGGTAATTCAACCCCCAAAAGGGTCGTGGCCCACAGGTTGAGAACCGCTGTTAAAGAATGGTGGCCAGCCACATGGAGTCTTTGAAAAGGAGTCAACAGGTAACTTTTTTTATTTTTTAATCCTCACCTGAGAATATTTTCCCATTGATTTTCAGATAGAGTAGGAGGGAGGGAGGGAGAGAGAGAGAGAGAAAGAGAAACATCAATATGAGAGAGACACATTGACTGGCCACCTCTTGCACAACCCTGACCAGGGACAGGGACAGAGTCAGGGCCAGGAATCGAACTGCAACCGAGGTACATGCACTTGACTGAAATCAAACCCACAAGTCTTTGGTTCTTGGACCAACGCTCTAACAACTGAGCAAAACCGGCCAGGGCAACAGGTAGCTTTTTAAAAATTTTTTATAAAGAAGTTGGAGCACAGCCACCTTTTTTTGTTTGTCTGTTTATTGATTTTAGAGAGAAAGGAAAGGAGAGGGAGAGACAGATAGAAACATCGATGAGAGAGAACATCGATTGGCCACCTCCTGCATGCCCCCCACTGGGGATCAGGCCCACAACCTGGGTATGTGTCCTGACCAGGAACTGAACCTGCGACTTCTTGGTGCATGGGTCAATGCTCAATCACTGAGCCACACTGGCCGGGCAAATAGGGTGTCTTCCTGCAGTCTTCAGCTCTGACTGTGATGCCCAATACTAGTTACTGAGAGAGAAAAAAATACTTCTAGTATTTTTATTATTATAGAGAAAAGCAATTCATTCAGTCTCATAACCTGGTAGACATAGCCAACCTCTTTTGCTCAAATGCCCAGCTAGTCTTGGCTGGTTTGACTCAGCAGTTAGAGCGTTACCCGTGGACCAAAGGGTTGTGGGTTTGATTCCGGTCAGGGGCATGTACCTGGGTTGCAGGTTCGATCCCTGGCCCTGGTTGGGGTCATGCAGAAGGCAGTCAATTGATGTGTCTCTCTCACATTGATGCTTCTCTCTCTTTCTCTCCCTCCCTCTCTTCCATTCTACCTGAAAAAAATCAATGGAAAAACATCTTTGGGTGAGGAGTAACAACAACAAAAAAATGCCGAGCTAACCAAACAACCTTTTATGTAGGAACAACTGGGTTGATCTATTCCAGCAAGAGGAAATAAATACTCACTATAAACAACCTGTTGCTATTTATCCTGCCAAGGTTCTCTTTTTGTTGTGAATTAATAGGTGGTTGTTCTGGTCTAGAAGGCAGCTGTGGGAAAGTCACTGAGAGTCTGTTTTCTATGCACTGCTATCCAATGGAACTTGCTGTGATTATGTTCAATAGTGCAGCCAGTCGCATGTGGCTATTGATCGTTTGAAAGGAGACTAGGGAAACTGAAGAAGTGATTTATAATGTTCTTTAATTTTAATTAATTTAAATAACCACAGGGAGCTAGTGGCCACCAATTTGGACAGCACAGCTCTAGACCCTTGGAATTCAAAGTGTGGCCTGTGGACCTGCAGTGTCTGCATCACCAAGCTTGTTAGAAATGCAGAATTTCAGGCCACACCCTGGAATCCTCATGTTAACAAGATCCCCAAGTGATCTGTACACACATTTGAAATTGGAAAATGGCATGGTTATTTCTGAATGAGCTGGGGAGTGGGGGAAGGAACGACTAAGGACCATATCTGTGGTGACCTCGCCAAACTGCAGACAACCACACCGGAGACTGGTGTCTAGCATGAGGGGTCTTCTTTCTTTGTATCTGTCGCTCCTCCATTCCTTAAACATAGCACAAAGGGGGAAGGTGAGAAAGAAAGGGCCTGGAACACTGCATCTAAGGGTAGTTAGAGGGATGGCATGGGGGTGAGGTGGGAAAGGTATGTGTTTCTCAGGAACACATTACAAAGTAAAATGATGAGATGTCCTTAATACTTTTTGAATAGGGATGGTGGTTTTATGGGAATTCACTATATTATTTTCTCCACTTTTGTGCATGTTCGAAATTTTCCAAATGAAACAATAGATGTGATTTCAGAGATGATGTGTGTGACAGCCAACTTCAATGATCCTCTCCTCCTGGCATTCACCCCTTGTGTACTCTTCTTCCATACTGAATCAGGGCTGGTCCATGTGACCAAAGTGGAGGTGACAGGTGTGACCTCAGAGGGCTGGATCAATGTGACTTCTGCCTTGCTATCTCTTGGATATCTTGCTCTGAACGAAGTCAGCTATCAGGCTGTGAGGACACTCAAGCAGTCCTGTGGAGAGACCTGTATGAAGAGGAGCCAAGGCCTCCTGCCAACAGCCAGCCGCATGAGTGAGTCATGGAAGTGAGCCTCTGGAAGTTCATTCTCCAGCCCCAGCTAAGCCTTCCAGTGATTGTAGCTCCACCTGACATATGAAATGCAACTGCATGAGAGACGCCCCCACCCCCAAAAGCCCAAGCTGCCTGCCAAAACACTCCTGAATCTTTGACCAACAGAAACTGTCTGTGCAAGACAATAAGTGTATATCATTGTATTAAACCACTGAGTTTGGAGGTAATTTGTTATGCAGCGATAAAAAACAGATACAAGGTCATTTCAGGATTTTCCACTTCCTGATACCCTCTCCACCTTATCACAGACACCGGGAATGAACAGGAAAAAGACCTTTTCACACTATGCATAAAGTTAGCATGCTAATATCCCTTAAAGAGATACTGCATTCACTTAAATTCATGGTAAAACATATGTGACAGATATAAATTTTCTTTAAAACTCTTAGCAGGCTAATGTACTGAGACATTGCTCTTGCTGTTGTAAGAGACTAGAAGGAATAAAAAGGTAATTTCTTCCTCAGGGTCTACCACCCCAATAGCTAAAATCTTGAATCATAAGGTCCAGGCTCTTCTTACATGTCCCTCACCCAGAGCCTAATCCCCAATAACACATACTGTGAACAGTTTCTTCACAGAAGAAAGAAGACACCCCACCCTTCATCTTAATGATTAGGTAACAGAAAAACCACGCTGGAATACTGCTCCAGAAGGGGAGGTGAAAGAGCTGGCATTGGTTCAGAAAGATTGCCAGTGGGCAGGCCTAAGGGATGAATGACCCCCACCCCCAGTCTGGGGCGGGTTTCTAAGTTTCTAGGAATAGAAACCTGTCCCTGGCTTGTATGCTGCCCTGTGTGTGTGTCAGGGGTGGAGTGGGAATTGCTGAATGGGGTGTCCGAGGAGGGGCATCCTGGGGCTTGAGCATGCCCCAAAGACCTCCCCTTACCCTCCCCTCCTGCCTATCTGCCTTGCAGACTGTGGAGCCGTACCCTTCCTTGGTACCCCAAGAGTGGTGGAATAGTGGCATCAAGACTGGGGGGGGGGGGCTTCCCTAAGTCTTTCCACAAATTGTGGAGACTTCGCAGCCCTAGAGAGAGGGGAGGAGGAACCTAAAAAAATTTCCCGCCAACATTGAGCTAGATTTCTTTAATTTGTAAAATTAAAAGACCTGTAACGCTCCTTGCCCAGGAGTCAGTTCAGCTAACTCAGAGTTACTGTTCCTGAGAGCGGTTTGGAGGGGCGGAAGGAAGAGGATGGAGGAAGGTGGAGGAAGTAATACAGCAGTGAAGGGGCGAGTCTCCTTCCTGACAGTTTCCGTCATCAGATAGGTCCTGTCACCTCATAGGTCTCGGCCCCCGACACTTACTCAGAGCCACTGACCCGCGCCGCCGTCCGTCCAGCTCCTACACAAACACACGCACGTGCGCCCCGCCCCCGCGCGCGCACGCGCCCCGAGGCTCCGGCGGCAGCGACGGGCACGCGCGCGGTGCTCGCTGCCCTCACGCCGCTCCCTCCGCTCGGATCGCACGCAGCACCTCCGGCTCTCCGCACCGTTCCACGCCGGACCCGCGGACCCGAAGGCGGTGGCCGTGGTCGGTGGGCTCCTGCGGGCGCAGCGGTGCAGGCGGAGGCTCCCGGGAAGGGGCGCAGCGGAGCGCGGCGAGTTTCCGGGAGGGATGTCGCTGGGCGCGGGCCCCTGCGTAAGGAGGGCGCCGCGACAGGCCGGCCGTGGAGGCCGCGACGGAGCGCCCGGACCTGCCATGGGCTGAGACACGTCCTCGCCAAGCAGGTGCAGTGACCAGAGGTCCCGGGGGGAGCCCACCCCGACAGGCCCCGGGGATCCTCAACCCCATTGGGACGCCCCTGCACAGCCGGTGCCCTGTTGACCTTCCCAAGGCACTGGAGACCCCGCCTCCAAACCTGCCCAGGCAACCTCTGTGAAACCAACAATGCTTGACATCCCGGGCATGTCTCCATCCTACACTCTTGTGACCCCGGCCCAGCAGGCCTTTGTGCCCACCTCCTCCTCTGTCCCAGTATTTTGAGCCCACTGCCTGCACAGTGCCTGGGAACTACCCGCACCTCTTCCTTTGACTTCTAGCCTAATTGGGGTGGGGGTGGGGGAGCGAGTCCTTCTCTCCATTGGACCTGGTGACCATAAACCTATTCTCTCTTAAGCCTGTAGTGAAAATGACCCTTCTTTACCCCACCAGAACATGCCTGGGTGACTCCCTCCCAGATCTTCCTGGTGGCCTTCCTCGCCCTCCCCAGTGACACTATGCAACCCCTGTGTGACCTGCGAGGCCTCTGGCTCCTGCTGCTGTCCTGGTTCCTGCTCCTCTTTGAGGTGGCCAGAGCTGGCCGGCCAGTGTTTAGCTGCCCTGCTGCCTGCCTATGCGCTAGCAACATCCTCAGCTGCTCCAAGCAGCAGCTGCCCAATGTGCCCCACTCCTTGCCCAGATACACCGCCCTGTTAGACCTCAGCCACAACAACCTGAGCCGCCTGCGGGCTGAGTGGACCCCTACACACCTTCCCTACCTGCACTCCCTGCTGCTGAGCCACAACCACCTGAACTTCATCTCCTCGGAGGCCTTCTCCCCAGTACCCAAACTGCGCTACCTGGACCTCTCCTCCAACCAGCTGCGGACGCTGGACGAATCCTTATTCAGTGGGCTGCAGTCATTGGAGGTGCTGCTGCTTTACAATAACCATATCATGGCAGTGGACCGCTCAGCCTTCGAGGATGTGGCCCAGCTGCAGAAACTCTACCTAAGCCAGAACCAGATCTCCCGCTTCCCTCTGGAACTGGTCAGGCTCCCCAAGCTGACACTCCTGGACCTCTCCTCCAACAAGCTAAAGAGCTTACCGCTGTCCGACCTGCAGAAGCTGCCCGCATGGGTCAAGAATGGGCTGTACCTGCATAACAACCCTCTAGAGTGCAACTGTGAGCTCTACCAGCTCTTTGCACACTGGCAGCACCGGCAGCTGAGCCCCGTTGTGGACTTCCAGGAGGACCTGCACTGTGTGAGGGCCAAGAAGCTGCAGAGTGTCTTCAACCTCAACTGCAGCGAGTACAAGGAACGTGCCTGGGAGGCCCACCTGGGTGACACCTTGACCATCCATTGTGACACCAAGCAGCAGGAGATGACTAAAGTGTGGGTGACACCCAGCAATGAACGAGTGCTAGATGTGGTGGCCAACAGCACAGTGAGAGTGTTTGAGAATGGCAGTCTTCATTTCCAGCGGGTGCAGGTCGAGGATGAGGGTGTGTATACCTGCTATGCCATGGGGGAAGCTTTCAATGAGACACTGTCTGTGGAGTTGAAGGTGTACAATTTCACCCAGCACGGACACCACGACACCCTCAACACAGCCTATACCACCCTCGTGGGCTGTATCCTCAGTGTGGTCCTGGTCCTCATATACCTGTACCTAACCCCTTGTCGCTGCTGGTGCCGGGGTGTCGAGAAGCCTTCCAGCCACCAAGGAGATAGCCTCAGCTCTTCTATGCTTAGTACCACACCTAACCACGATCCTATGGCTGGTGGGGACAAGGATGATGGTTTTGACCGGCGGGTGGCCTTCCTGGAACCTGCTGGACCCGGGCAGGATCAAAATGGCAAGCTCAAACCCGGCAACACCCTGCCGGTGCCCGAGGCGACAGGCAAGGGTCAGCGGAGGATGTCAGATCCAGAATCCGTCAGCTCAGTCTTCTCTGATACACCTATTGTGGTGTGAGCAGGATAGGTTGGTGGGGAGATTCTGCCCCAGGAGAGGTAATGCACCCCTGAAAGATTTGAGGGGATGGAAGAGAGGGCTGGCTGCCCAAGGGAGTGGGTTCCCCCTGGCCTGGAGAATTGGTCACGGGTACAACAGAAGGCAAGACCCCAACCATGGTGTGGCTGCCATGATTTTCAAATATGGATATATCAGTCCTCAGATGAATGCTACACCCGTCCCCAAAGCCCTGGCATTTGTCAAAGTGGTGAGGAGGAGGAGCGTGTCTGAGTTGGGTGGGAATGAGGAAGGGTTGGGGGAACAGCAGACTCCCTAAACTTTTTTGAGGTCATCCCTGGCTCCTTAAGAGAAACTCATTTGTAGGGGGAAATCATTTTTTCTCTATCTCTGCCCACCCACATTTGTGATGTTGGGTGTGTTGGGGGAGCTTCCACAGGAGCTATATGGGGGGAAAGCTCTAGTATCTTCTCAGGCCAGGAAGTCACACTTCACAGCTGGGGAAATTAGAAACCTTTGGCAAAATGAGTTAGGAAAAAATGGGAGATCTCAATCAATAGCACTCCCCCAAGCTGCTGTGAGACTTCCCATAATGCCTTTGTTTTTCCCGAGGAGCCTCGCTTGTTGTCTGTCAGAGATGGCAGTGATGTGAGATGAGGTATTGTGCCCGGTCCTGGGATCAGTGGCACAGAGGGGTTCACACCACAGCATAGGTGCAGCACAAAACTTGTAGATTGGGGAGTGAACTCCAGATTGGCTCATTTCCTGGTTGGTGAAATTCTGGATTAGCATTGGGTTCTAGCACCCATGTGTCAGGCCAGGGTGGGGGCTGCTGAAAGCAAAGCTTTTATGGATAGATGCCTGCCCCAGACGTGGGATGGAGGGCTACAATACACGAAGACTAGAAGGGTACATCAGTCTCACACAGGTAGCATCCAGCTGGACCCACCTGACTTTCTGTGTATACCATCTCTTCATTTAGTCTCCTTAGCAAGCTCAGGTGGGATTCTGAAGTTTCCCTAGTATGCTGCTCTGCGGAGGGTAGAGTCCTGAAAAGTCTGGCCCCAGCTAGGTTAGACTGGGCTTGGGGACACCGGGGGAACCAGTTATGTACCTCCTGTGTTGACAAAGCTACCTTGCTTCGCTCAGAGATCTCACTCCTGCTGCAAAGCCAAAGCATGGGATTCCATCAGCCGAGGGGTTGGAATTGTGTGATCTTTGCCCCAGAATGGCATTTTGGAGTGTGGCTTAGACTTCTGTATCTCCACAAGGTTCCAGGCAGTCTTGTAACAGAGACAGCCAGTGGCACTAAACTTTCCGAAGGGAAGCTCTGCCACCCCCAGCGCTTTCAGCCTGAGGTCTGTGCACTTGTGGTCGGCAGACCAGAGGAACTTAAGAACAGGCCAATATTCCATTCCATCCAAGGTTACAGAGTACTTTAGTATGGAGATAGACACTCCCTCAAACTTCTCCCTTTGACTAGTGGAAGCCCTGGGAGACGGCTGCTCTAGGCTTTGTCAAGGGCATGAGCAGGGCAGAGGTAAAAGTGTTCTCTGATGTTGGTCTTTTTCAGTCTGTCCCCTCTCTCTTACCAAGTTCCTTGTCCAGTGGAAGTTCTCCAGATCTTCTGACCTGTTCCTTAGATTCCAAGAGGTGTTGTTTACCTGTGGGTGAGGGCTGCTTGCTAGGAAGGCCTGACTCCCGCAGCCTGTTAAGATTGGGGAAGGGGACTGGGAGGTCAAGGCTGCTGTCCATCCTTTCTTAGCACCCAGTTTTGTTGAGAGGTGCAATGTTTCCCTCAAGTACTTGCATGCTCATAGGTACGCATGCTTCTAGGTATGCATGCACACCACACCTTGACTCCCATCAAGACAGTGATTCTTCAGTCCCCACTACGATCCATTTCAGAATGGTCTCCACCTATGTGCACAACTTCAGGCACACAACTTTCTTGCCCTGTAGGAGACAGTGATCATGCCAGGCTCCCCAAATAAACTCTTGTACTTTTAATTAATTCTGGACTCTCTGAAGCTTCACCCACATCTCCATGGCACCAAATAACTTCTCTGCAAGGCCTGGAGTTAGGAGAACCACAGGCTGAGGACCATGGGAGAAGGGGTGGTGAGGAGCTAGCCAGTTCTTCAGACCCTCAGAAACCTTCCTTGGATTAAAGACAATAGATGAGACATAGTGTACAATTAGGTCAAGGAAGGACCCAGAGGAAACTGGCAGGGGACCAAGCAGCTTTCAGTTGCTCTTCCTTTTATCTGCCCTGGTAAAACGGGCAAGGGGGTAAATTTGTCTGGTTAAGTTCCGGAGGCCTGTGGGGATTTTGTTACTGGAGCTGGAAGAACCAGGACTCCCTGCTCACTTCCCAGGGAGCCTGGGGAAAATCTCATCTCTGTGCTGGAGTGTCCCCTCCAGGAGCTATCTAGGGCGCTGAAAATCTTAAGTGAGTATCAAATGAAGCAGGCCTAGGGCTTTCTAGCCGAGTTCCTGAGGACTAAGGAGGGCCATTTTCTTCAGCAGTCCTACCCAAGTTGGGGAATAAGAAAAGGCCCCGAGCCCGGCCAGTGTGGATCAGTGCTCGAGGGTCAACCCATGCACCGAGAGGTCGCCGGTTCAATTCCTGGTCAGGACATGCCCAGGTTGTGGGCCCGATCCCCAGTGGGGAGCATGCAGGAGGCGGCCAGTTGATGTTCTCTCTCATCGATGTTTCTATCTCTCTCTCCCTCTCTCTTCCTCTCTCTAAAATCAATAAAGAAAAAAAAAACTTTAAAAAGAAAAGGCCCTGAGGCTGTAAGTCTCCCTACTCTGTCCACTAATTTGAAAGGCTGGTAGGTGTGCCTGGCTGCCCCCCGACCCCCCGCCGCCACATACTGTAGATTAGCCTCTTCTGTGGCTTCAGCTGATAGAACCCAAAGGTCGCTTTCTCCTTGGGGGACTGAATATTCAGCATGTGTAAGCTCCCTAGAACCCTGTGTAGGAAAACTGCCAGGTCTCGTTCTAAGAACAGGCTGAGATCACCCCCTTCACTCCCCCTCACCACACCCAGACATGTCTCCCAGAAGCAGGTGTTCCTGGAGACAGTACGACAAGGCTCAGCAGTCTGTCTGATTGTGACCTTTTTTCTTTGCCTGTATGTATGGGGCTCCTAGGAAGAGGCCAGGAGAAGGTACACACCAGCTGGGGAGGGCAAAGCTGACTGATTAGTTTTTCTGTGTGTTCTTACCTCTGTACTTCCTCGGAGCCCTGCTGGCAAAGCAAGCTGGCGTCCCTGTGTCCAGGACCCTGTTCCTCCCACTGTGTATACCCAGGTTGGCAAACCTTGGAGCCTCTGGGCTCCGAAAACTAGACAATGATCATTAAACCTGGCTTGAGTCTCTCTGTTTGGGCACAGTCTGTGAGTGGTTTATTTCTCTTTTCAGCCTGTGGGTGGGGTTCACTGTACCTCTGAAGGGTGTGGCCTGTGTAGGGAAAGAATATTTCAATGCTATCCTAAGGGCACGAGTAGAATTCACATCCAGGCATTAAGACAGACTAGGGGTCAGCAAACTTTTTCTGTAAAGAACCAGATAGCATGCGGTCTTTGTGACAACGACTCAGCTGTGCCCAGTGTAGCAGGAAGTCACACACAGTAAATGAATGAATGAGCGTGGCTCTGTTTCAAACTTTTTTATGGACATTGAAATTTGGAGTTCATATCATTTTAACATGTCTTCTGCATTTCTTCAACCATTTAAAGTGCAAAAACTCTTATTAGCTCATACCATACAGACCATACAAAACCAGAAAGTGGGCTGGTTTGGGCTAGCAGACCATAGTTTAGATTCTCAAAAGAAATGTCACTGGCTCCTTAGCAGGAGAGTTTAGAAATTCCATGATATGGGCAAGAGCCTATAGATAATGGAGGCTTCCTGGATCCCTGGGGAGGAGGCTGGCCTCCCTGCAGAGCTCTGTTAGAAGTCTAGAACAAGCCTACTCAAGGTACGGTGGGAAAATGCTTGGACTGGGTTAAAAGAAATGGTAGGAGCAGCTCACTTTCACAATATTTGATTACCTATATACTTTCACCTAAATGGTGACTATCTTAGTTTGGCTAAAAGTCTATTCACCTAACGGGAGGTTAATAGTCCCTGATAGTTAATGTGTACTCAGCATCACATAGAACAGAGAAATGACTTCCCCATTTTCTTGGTACAGGCACAGCCCACCAGAAATTGGACTGGATTCTACTGAACTCTGAACATGCAAATTCTTTGGCCACTCTCTTGGTACTTCTGGAAGGGGACTGTCATGGTAGAATATTACATAAGGGGAGAGGAAATGGTATAAGGAAAAAAATGAAAAGAATTCAAATTTGAAAAATTACCTAATTTTTTCCATTGATAAAATATTAACTAAAGGGCAGCCCTCCTCTGTCTGGAACATTCATTGTCTTTTTCTCGTAGGGAGGAGCAACCCCAGTGGTGAGGGATGGAGACACCTCACAGACACACCTCCCTGGCAGTCAGTGAAATGATGCCAAAGCACCCCCACCCCCAGTCTACATGTAAAGCATTTTCCATCTTTTCAGAGAAGTCTTTGAAATGGCTGAGTTTGACCAAGAGGATGAAGCTGGTAGAGAATGTGTCTGGGGCAGACTACTGGGGGCGCCCCCTCTCTTTTGGCCTGTGCCGAGCCCTGTCTCTGAGCCTGAAAAGTTTTGATACTTCTTTCCCCATCATCCCATGGAAGTCCATGGATGCATCTCCTCCCCACTCCCCAACCACTAGCTTCTGGCCAAGATGTACACTTTCACCTGCCATGTCTACAGCACTTTCCCTAGCTCCTCTTAGGCGGTGCCTGAGGGGAATGGATGAGGATAATGTGACAGCCTCACCTTTCCTTGTCCTGATCTCTCAACTCCTTCCCTTTCTGCAGTTGTAGTTCTTGGATGGCTTTTCTTGTCTCCCAGGAAACCAACATGAAGCTTCACTGTCCCCACCCACACTGCACAAAAGGAAAGCTCCAGCCTGTGTAGTGGGATGGTGGGCTTTTCTGGTCTGGCTACAGTGAGCCTGCTGGATGCTTCCTCTCCTGGGAATTGAGACAAGGCAAAAGCAGCTGCAAAGTTCAGCCCCTTCATCAGGCTTATACACTGTTGGGTGGAAAACATCAAGTGATAAAGATACTTAAACCTGCCCTGAGGCCTCCCAGTCTGTATCCAGCCGAGTTACTGTCCCAGAATCAGAGCAGGTGGACCCATGCCATTAGTAAGCCAGGGCGTGGAGCCCCATAAGGGGACTTCCAGGCGCGCTACAGTGCTAGCACACAGGTCAAAGTCAGTGACCCCAGAGTTAAGGCTCTGTGTTTGCAAGTGCACATGTAGGTGCACAGATATGCACGTAGGTCAGGAGCATCATATCTGGATGGAACTTGTGCTGCTTTTCTCCCACCTCCCCGTTCCCTCACTTGGCTGGAGTTGGCTTTGGTGTGGGTCTAAGCAGAAGGGCCTAGTCAAGTCCTGGGCAACCTTAGAAAGCACCGTGAAATAATTGGGACTGTGTTTTAAAGAGAAGGGAGTGGCCCTGGCTGGTTTGGCTCAGCGGTTAGAGCGTCGGCCTGCGGTCCAGAGAGACCCGGGTTCGGTTCCCGCTAAGGGCATGTACCTCGGTTGCAGTTTGTCCCCGGCCCTGGTTGGTCGTGTGGGTGGCGGCCACTCGATGTGTCCCTTTCACATCGATGTTTCTCTCTCTCTCTATTCCTCTCTCTCCCTCCCACTCTACCTGAACAACAACAACAAAAACAAAAAAAAAGGAAAAATGTCCTCGGGTGAGGATAAAAAAAAATAAAAAAATAAAAATAAAAATAGAGAAGGGAGTGGGGTCCCCTTATGTATACTCAGTGAGACAGAGTTGAATCCTCGTACCAAAGAATAGCGTGAAGTAGCTGCTTAATCTGCTTTCAACAGATTTAAAAAATCATCTAGGGGAATAATAGGAGGACATCTGTAATACTTTCAACAACAACAACAAAAATCATCTGGGAAATTCTGATAACAACAGGTAGATTTAAAACTGGGACTCTTGGTATGGCGCAGTGGTTGAGCATTGACCCATCCACCAAGAGGTTTCCAGTTCGATTCCTGGTCAGGGCACATGCCCAGGTTGTGGGCCCAATCCCCAGTGTGGGACATGCAGGAGGTGGCCAATCAATATTCTCTCTCGTCGATGTTTCTATCTCTCCCTCTCCCTTCCTCTCGCTCTAAAAATCAATAATAAAAAAAAAAAAATCAACCTGGGCATGTGCCCTGACCAGGAATTGAACTGGCAACCTCTTGGTGCATGGGTCGAAGCTCAACCAGAGCCACACCGGTCGGGCAAGAAAAAATATAAAAAAAAAATACTCTTGCCCTTGCCAGGTGGCCTCGGTTGGTTGGAGTGTCATCCCATACACCAAAAGAGTGTGGGTTTGATCCCCAGTTCGGGCGCATACGGGAGGCAACCAATCAGTGTTTCTCTCTCTCTCTTTGTTTTTTTTATCTTCACCCAAGGATATATTTTTAATTTATTTTCTGAACCACACCAGACAGACCACACCAGACAGGCCCAAGGATATTTCTGTCCATTGATTTTTTTTTTTTTAAGAGAGACTGGAAGGGAAGAAGGGGTGGGGGTGGGGAGGGAGGGGGAGAGAGAGAGGTAGGTAAACAATGTGAGAAAGACACATCAATTGGTTGCCTCCCACACACACCCTAAACAGGGCTGGGGATCATCCTGCAACCCAGGTACATGCCCTTGACTGGGAATCAAACCTGAGACCCTTTGGTCTGCGTACTGATGCTCCGACCACTGAGCCAAACCAGCCAGGGCTCGCTCCCTTTTCTCTAAAATCAATGAAAGCATATCCTCAGGTGAGGATTAAAAAACAAACAAACATAAAAAAAATCCTGGGACTCTTATTCCCTGCACAGTGGTGACTAGCCAAGCCTTGTGTGTGGCTAGAGGTAATATGTGCTTTAATCTTAGTCGGTGCTGGAGAGGGTCCACTTCAAACCACCCCCCAGAGTGGCCCAGGGGCACTGTCCTCCTGCCTGTAGGCTCCGTTTTCCCAGTGCCTGTGCTGCAGATAATTGCTGAGGCTATGCCCACAGTGCCTGACTGGTGGTCCATTCCTGGATCCTGGGCAGAAAAAAACAACTCAGATAGAAGAGTGAACCTGGAATCCTCTGCACAGAGGTTGTTCCTGCCTCTGTCTACTCTGGGCAGACTGCTGGCTGTTCTCAGATGAATGGAATGGAAAGTATCCTTCCCTAATTTAAAATTTAAACAGAACTGCTTTCATGAGGTGAATGTGTGTGTTTTAATTCCAGTGAAGTGCTTCAAGGAGGAGGGGACTGTGACCTTACTCTGAGAGTCTGAAACAAGGAAAAGAGAAACCTGTGGACAGCCAGGGACCATGTCTCACAGCTCTGTGTCTCCAGCACCTGGCATATGGGCCTGGGATGGGCAATACTCAGTCTGTGACACGGGGTGGGGGTTGGGGGTTGCAGTGCTGTGTCTATGACTGCTCCTCCCTCCCATCCTGGTTTGTCTGCTCTTGTCAGAAGAGCTGAAGTGTGTGGGAGAGAGACCAACCAGCCCAGGGGCTCCAGGCTGGCCCCGGGGGATAACTGACTCCCAGATTTCCCATCAGGGCCATGACTTGAGGACCCCAGGTAGGAAGCACTGAGGGCAGGCTCCTGAGAGTTCCTGGCAGCAGTGGATGAGAGCTGACCTTGCATCCAGAAGGAGGAAATGGGTGTGCCCTCTCACCACAGCCAGCATTACAGCCCTTCTGAGACCTGGGTCCCCTAAGTATCATCCATAACTGTTTACTGCCTCCCTCAACGAAGCATAGAGCCCAGGCCAGGCAAAGTGAGAGAGGGAGGACCAGAATGTAGAAATATCACCTGTTTACATGTGTTTAATGCTTTGAACTTTCCAACGTTGATTAACATGCATTCCTCTCACCCTCACAACATCCTTGGGAGGTAGGCTGAAAAGTGATTAGCTAGCTCATGGCCACACCCATATTAGGAGTCAATCAAGAGGGCAGATTTGCTGGTGCCTGGGCCAGCCCATTTTTCACCTCCTGACAGAGACTCTCTGCCAACCAGACACTGGCTGCGGCAGCCTCCTGCTCCCTAGGCCTGCAGGGGGCCACCAGAAAGGCTGAGTTGGGGGATCAGAGCCAGGGTGTCCTTTGGAGGGCAGGTCAACAGGAGGTCGGGCAAGAGTACTAGCAGGTCAGGGTCAACAGCCGCCAATGCCACTACCAGCGTAAGCAGGGCATGCACCATATTCCCTCCATCTTTACCTTTGTCAGGTGAAAAAGCCTTATTTGTGTACTCAGAGGACTCTCAGGGCCCACTGCCAGAGGACAGCCGCCTCAAGCCATGGCTGGGAGGTGGCAGTCCTGACCTCTCCTCCCTCCCACAGTGCCTCCCATTTGGTGACACTCCGAAGCCCAGGAAGAGGGGGAAGGTGAGGGCTGGCTGACTCAGCCCACCAGTGCCTGGAGGTCTGGAGCTGAAAGGCCCAGCACTGTTCAGCTAATGATTATTATTAACTCTGAACAGACCTTGGCACGGCAGCCAGCTGGCTCTAGGAGGACGCCTGGATCTCCCACAGTGAGGTTTAAAAACAACACCCATGGCAGCCGTGTGTGGGGGTGGGAGGGTGGGGACATGAGAAAGAAGGGACAGACCAGTGTCAGAGAGCAGGGCCGGGTAGTCTGCCCTGTGAGAGGGTGGGGAGAGAGGAGGCCCAGCCTACCTTTGACGCAGCTGCAGACCCAAGATAAGGCTGGCAGACTTCTCCAGATGCAGAGCTCCTACTATTCAACTGCCCCCTCACCCCCACCCCTGCCATGGTGGGGCTCAAGGGAAAGGGAGCTTCCAGAAAAGATGGGGCTGAGGGCATCTGACCCCAGAATGGTAATCCTATTACCATCTGAATCTAGATACAAAACCCTTCTCTATCTTTAATGTCCTCAAGGTTGAGTTTCAATATAATTATATTTGGAATCAGGACTTAGTGAGCCTGATATGCAAATTTGTGCAAGTGACATGCATTTTTTTTTTTTTAATTTGAGCACCCTGCCTTTTTTAAAAAAAAATGCTAAACAGGCTGACTACTAGCAGCTTTCCTTAGGGGACAAGGGCAAAAGGGCAGCTATCTGCTTCTCCCCCAAGGCCTCTACCTCTTCACTGAGGCACCCAGCTACCCCAGATGGGGAGATGCAGGAGGTGAGGGGAGGGCTCGTGGGGAGGAGGCATGTGCAGCCAGCTGGAGGATGGGTACCCTGGCACCAAGGGCTAATGGTGGTCCAGCTGCTGCCCAGGATGTGAAGGCAGGTGGTGAAGGAGGGAGAAATGCAGAAGGGAGGGGAAGGAAGTCCCCCCACAATCTGGTCAGCAGGGAATAAGGGATCCTCCTGGTGACCTACTCCCTATACTGCAGTCAGACCGGCTCAACAGACTACCTATGCTTGTCCTCTACCCTCTGCCCTCTGCCCCTGCCCTCCTGGCCTACTGGTCAGAGAGGTTACAGCTGCAGCCCCTTATTCCTGCAGAATATAAATGACTTCCCCCTTCCTCCCGAGGCTGGGAATAGACATCAGCTGGCATTGCCCACGCAAACTGCCGGCTGTCAGCCTGCCTGCCTGCCCGCCCGCCCGCCCGCCCACCAGCCCTCAAACCACCTGGGAGGAGGCAACACCTTAGGCAGGCAGGCTTTCTGGCATCGCCTGCTTGGTTCTTATAGCAAGCTGGGGGACCTTACCCAGCCCTCTTTCCCCGCTGCAGACAGGGTGAGATTCCCAGCACTGGTTGTAACAGGTGCAGAGGAGATGGCATGCCTGATCAAAGTGACCCCAGATGAGACTCCACACTGCAGGGCCTTCTTCAGATGAGCAGGGTCTAGAGAGCTCCTGGGAGATGCCATTGGACCCAGGAGGAGCCCAGTGAGTCCACTCAGGGGATGCTTCTGCCCTTGTCGTCTCACTCCTGTATTTCTGAATCATACCAAATCCTTGCTTCTAAGCCACCCAGAGAGGAGGTCTTGAATCTTCAAAAGACCTGGGACTTCCTAAATGCTGCCATCTAGGAACACCGCCCCCTGGTCCCAGGACCTGGACCTCTAGCCCCAACACCTCAGGCCTCCCAGAGGCCCGTGAGCTGTTATCACCTGCCTCAACACCAGCTCTCCTGGTTCAGCCACCTTCAGTCCTTGCCATGATCTATGGGGATCCCACTGCTCCAACTGAGACAGATCACAGTTAACCAGCCTGGCATCCAGCCCTCATCGCTGAGGGCAGTCTGGGGAACTGCTTTCAGTTTCGAACAAGGAGGGGTCTCTGCGGGGAAAAGGGCCTGGCCCTCATTTGCCAGCTGGCACCAAACTCAGTCCCCCTATTGGGCCAAAGAGCTGGCAAGAGACAACAGTGAGGAAAGCTTCGTGATGAGAAAGCGGGATCTTCGCTGGATTAGAAGAGCTCTGCCCTGCTTTCTGGGCTCTTACTTTGTTCTAAAAGCTTTGGGATAGCTCCACAAAGCTACATCCTAAGGCAAGAACCTGAGCCCAAGAAGGCAAACGAGGTGCTCAGGACTACTTTGCCACCAAGAATGGATGTCAGGGGAAGAAGCATACCCCTGTCCTGTGGCCCTCAAAACCCAGATCCTGAGGTGAGTTGAGAAAGATCTTAACTGAGCCAAGCAGCCCAGCCAGGAGCCAAAGGCTTAGGTAAGCCAATGCCCTTCTGCTCTCCCAGAACTTTAAAGTGACTTTAGTGCCTTTACTGTCTTGGAGTTCAGGGGACTCTCACTTGAGTCCCTTCCCTTCACAGTGCCTGACGCTTTGTGCCCTGGTCTGGGGCCAAGTCAGCAGAGATTCCTGACAGGCCATGAGGGCAGACCTGTTCCTCCAGAGTGGTAAGGGGATAATGAATGTAAGAATTACATCCTGAGTCTTCTGAGTGGTCCAGCCCATGCTCCAGCACTGGAAGAGTGTTCTGTGACATCAACCTGACAGACACTGAATGTTAGAGATCATTTAGAAACGCTCATTACACAGATAAAGCAATCGAGGTCCTGAGACATGTGACTTGCCTAAGGTCACACAATAGATCCTATGGGACCAAAACCCACAAATAAGACCCATGGGCTCTGTCCATTAATACCATACTGCTTTCTCAAAAATGACTCAAAGAACCACAGCTGCCATTCATAAGTTACAGGAACCCAACCCTTCATCAGGCATGTATCCAAGAAATGACTATACTACCATCACCACCAGTGCCCAACCCTTCTGTCTCCCATTTAGAGTGGAGGCTTCAGGATCAAGCTCCCCATCACCTTTTACTTGCTCCCAGTACATTTCCCCATTTCGGTCCACTGAGTCATCCATCGTCAGTAGCAGTGGGTTTATACAGCCCCAGGCCCAGCTAAAAGTATAAAAACCCTACCCCTTTGGAAGTGGAGCCCTTGAAGGTCACCAAAGAAACCATTGAAGTCCAAGGCAAGTGTGCATCTAGATTCAGAGTTCGGAGGGAATCACATTTCCGTTTTCTTCCGTGGCAAGTAGGAGCTGGAGATTTGGTGCATGATCACCAGGGCTGGATAGAGGGGCAGCACCAGGCACAGGTACCAGGCTGCACCTTTGATCTGGGCCTGGAACCACACGGAGTACATACCCAGGAGCACCGTTACTGTAGCCATCAGGTAGACCACCAGTCCACATGTCAGATGGTAGAGTTTGAGGCGAGCCACCCTTGAGACCCCGGCTGCCCGAGGAAAGAGGAGGCAGAGCCCACACAGTGCCTGGCCCCCAGTGGCCAGCAGTGTCAGAGCCCCTACCCAGCTGTGCCAGGATACCAGGTGGGGCAGTTCACTGCGGGTCCTGCTGGCGATGATGAAGCCCAAGCCCAGGGCTGCACAGAGGATGGCTAGGGTTTGCCCCACCCAGTGGAGTCCGATCCGGGCCTTTCGGGAGCAGAAGAACAGAGAGTGCTCAGGTGAGAAGAGCAGGATGGCCTCGGCCATGCAGATGCAGAACTGTGAACAAGGAGAGGGCCAGTGAGCCTGAAGCCCAGCTTAGAGGCCTAAGAACAAGGAGGTGCTCTCAGACATCCAAACAAGGAGGGCAAAGGGTAGGGGCTAAAGAACTCCCACCAGGACCTCCTGCTTCACAGGTCAACATTGCTGGGCCCAACTGGGAATCTACGTGTAAATGAAAGTCTCTGTCATTCAGGCTGACATCCAAGTCCATGACCCCCCCACACCCACTCCCACCCCCAGACAATGATTCCCCATTTCTTGGCCAATGGAAACAGCAAATGTTAAAAACTTCCTCCTGGATTGGGGGGGAAGAACAACTGGATATTGCCCCTTCCACTTCCTCCTTTTAGGTCCTAGAGGATAAATACCTTCCATATCCTCCCACCCCCATTAACTACTTGACACAACCCAGCCCTCCTTGTTTCCCAATCTCAAAGGTTGCAAGGAAAGTTGGAGCCCTGCCTGTTTCCCCCACCTCTATGAGCCTTAGCAAAGCTGAGCCTTCTGAAGGCTAGATGTTTCCCTAGGGACATAGCCAAACAAATCAGCTGCACAAAGAAGCCCAAACTCACCGCCAAGGCCATGAATACAGGGTGCCAGGAGAAAAGACCTAAGAATCAAAGAGAACAGACTGACGGCTGGGCACCATTGTTTCAGCCCCTGAGGCTGGCTGGAGCCCAAAGAATCTGGCTACAGGGGACAGGTCAGTGTACAATCCCCAACCCCAATCAGGAATCAGGATTTTGGGGCAAAGTGGAGCAGCCAAAGGGCTTTAGGGTGAGCAACCATGAGGATGAACCCACACCAGTTCATCCTGGGTTCCCCATTGGGCACCTTGCAGCTGTCAGCCCAGTACCCCCAGACTGGACCTCAGCTTCCCTCCCTCCCTGTATCTTCTATGAGGAGCTCTGCTTATGAACTAGTGAGTTCAGTTCAGTCGTCTGCCTCTCCTCCCCAGCACCCAGAGCTATGCCCCACCAGCCTTTAGTACCCCTCATCAGTCCGTCCCTCCACTACAAAGGTCCCCACTCCTCGTCTCCTGGAGATCCCAAGCGCTGCCCCTGCAGCATCTCGGCTCCGCCCCATCCCTGGCCCCGCCCCGCCCCGCACACTCACTGGTTCCCGGCCGGGACAGCACAGTCAGAAAGATGGTGAAGCCCAAAGCTACCAGGTGTGCCAAGATCGCACTGCCTCTCCGCAGCCAGCAGGTCAGTCTCGGCTCCCTCGCTGGAGCGGGAACCAGACCTACCTCCAGGGTGTGCATGGCCGGACCGGGCCGGCACACACTCCCGGGAGCCAGAGCGCGTCTTCCGGGTTTGCGATCGCCGAGCCGCCCCGGCTACGGGAGAGGCTCCGCCCCGGACGCCTGGCAGTGCGTCGGATGTGCTCACAGCGCCCCCTGGGGGCCGGGGGGGGGAGTGAGTCGCCCGAGAGAGCCCCTAGGGCATAGGGCACTGGACAGCTCCTGGCCCATTACGTTTCTTAAGCCAACCTCATAGTATACTAGTCTACAAGGGTTTATGTCTCATGTAGCCTGTGGAGATTATATTTATGGCATTTATGGCAACTGATTTCACCCAAACCCCAAATCACAAGTTTGCTACGCTGAATCAAGACTGGAACCAGTGTTTTGAGCAGCCTTCCAAGAATACTGGAATTCCCTGGCTGCCCACTCTCTCCTACCATCCCTTCTGTCTTGTTAAGGGAATAACATTCCTCCCTGCCTTAAAGCAAGGAGATGAAAAGGAAAGGACAGGGGGAAAAAATAGTGTCCCGCACCTAAGTGACTCAGGTTTGAGGACCAACAGTCTGATACTCTATCTGCACAATAGTTGTCCCCAGTGAGATAAATGGAAGAACTAGGACACTCCCAGTCCCTGCCACCTCCACACCATCCACTCAGCTCTGGGGAGCCAGGTGATCCTAAGGAATCACGACCTCCCACGCCAAGGGAGTTCTGTAAGTGATCGTATCATTTCCCTTCCTGCCTCCCAAAAAAGTGTGGTTTGGCTCAAAGAGGCCTACCTGGGAGAGGCTATACCCCTTCCTTAAGGGCAAACCCACAGGCCAGGGGGAGAAGAGGCCAAAATATGCAGGGACATTCTGAGAACTGCTACTATCTCAATCCAAGCTCCCACTGTGGTAGAGAAAATGAAGCTGTTAGTAAGAGGCCGGAACAGCTGAAGAAATGAAGCAGTGATGTGGAGACACAGTGGAGGCCCAGGGTTGCTGAAACTCCATGAAAGGGCCACAGGCCGACTCCCACACTCTTAGGGCAAAGATCTAAGAGCAGAACCAGAGATGAGGCTCCCATCCCCATCAAGCTCCCTTCCCAATGGGGCTAGTCGGCTCTAGGGTCAAGATTCTGGGGAGCCTTACTCACTCAGAGTCATGCCTCATCATCCTGTCTGGAAGGAAGACTCCCCAAAGATACAAACCCCAGCCATTTCCACGGTTTCCAGGGGCAAAGAGATGGAAGTTGAAGTCTAGCTATCTATCATCTCAGCCTCCTGGGGTATGGTTGGGAACAGTAAGGACACTCATTTTGTTACATTTTTCCCCTTCTTTTTCTATGTTTCTGTTTTTATATTTTCTTAGCAGCAACAGAACAGGGAGACAGTCTTGAGGTATTTTAGAGTTTTTTTTTTTTTTCTTAAAAAAAATAATATAAAGTTATAAAAAGCGGCAGCAGCCTGGGGCCCGGATCTGGAAGGGAGGAGGTGCTGGCGGCTCCATCGCAGTGGGCAGGCACTTTCTCATTAATGGGCTTTTGACTGCAGGAAGACAAGAGGCAAGAGACAGGGTCAGGCTGGGGGCCTACCAGCCCTCCTACTCAGTGTACTGTGTGGACCACAAGAGCTAAGGCTTCATTTCCTCCTGCTGGCCTGGTGAGTAAAGCTGGGCACTGGGGAAGATGAAAGCCAGCCCCACAGGGGCAGCTTGGAGAACACCCATGCACACATGTGAACACACGCAAACTCAGACCCTGTGCAACTGTCACACCACTCTCGTATGGGTACCAGAGGTGTTGGTATGCATCTCGCCCGTGCCTAAACCAGGAGATCATCCCCCTTCCCCACCCCCAGTAACTCCCTCCTGGCTGCAATCCTATGGACAGCTCCTAGCATGCTACTCCAGGGCTCCATCGACAGAGGCAAAAAAAAAAAAAGCACCTGGCTGCTAGCTTTACCAGAAACCCTGGAAAACTTGCCTGGCACCCAATAACCTGGAAGTGGAAACATGTGCAAGGTGGGCATGCACATACATGTGGACCTTGAGCTGTGTCCCTGCCCTTCTGTGCCCTGATGCCCACAAGCAAAATCAATGAGACCGGCCCACCACCCTGCTGTGCAGCATTTAGGCCACAGCTCAGGGACCCAGGCTCAACCCCACTGCCCAAACCTTTCATATCAGAGTTCATGGAGTCCAACTTCCTTTCCTTCAGGGAACAGAGGTAGCTCCAGTTCCTGGAGTGAAGGCCACAGCCATTTCAGAAAGTGGCCTTTTGATTACAACAAAAGTCAGGGTGGGGAGAGGGAGGCAGAGGCAGCATCTCCTCAGCCCGAGGGAGAGGGCAAGAGATAATGAAAGGCCCATCAAGTGAAAGCTGAGGTCACCTTGCTATAAGCTGACCCACTTATCTCTAAAGATGGCCCAGGAACTCTCTCAACCTCCCCTTTCCTCCCCTCCCTGCACATTTACTCAGCACCTTGTCTGTGTCAGGTTCCCACCGTGCACTCCACCCTCACCCATCCTGACCCCTCCCTGCCCATGCTCTTCAGGGAGCTGGGCAGGTACCTTCAGTGCAGAACACTTCTCCTCAAAGGCCAGGGCTGGACCTGGCTTCTTGCGGCGCACAGAGCAGGCCGCATCGGCTGGGGGGCCAGCCTGGCAGTGCTTGGCCTTCACTGGCCGGCAGTAAGTGGCCAGATTTTTCCGCTTCTTGGCTACCTCCTCCTCAGAGAGGCAGTTGGTCGGCAGGGCCTTGGCTGGGTGTCCAGCCGCTCCCCGGTTGTCCAGCTGAGAAGCCTTGACTGGTGTGGAAGGCTGATGAGGGGAACCCCGACAGTCCAGGGGCCCTGACCGCTTCACTCTTGGCCCCACCGTCCCATTGAGCCCCATGCCCAGTGCTGTTTTAGTCTTGGCGGAGAGGCCCCGGCAGCCAGAGGGTTTGCCTTTTCCAGCAGGCTCCAGGATGCAGGTCCGTTTGAAAGTTGTGGGGCCAGGGGATAACTTTCGCTTTCGGGACGGGGCCTCCACCTCAGCCCCATCCTTGCCTTTGGATGACTTGCTGGCCTTCGAAGGTGGGAGCTTGCTGAAGGACGGGGAGGGCGTGTTAGCAGGAAGTGGTGATGTGATGGCCTGGCTCCCGCCCATGCACTCCGCCTGGCTGCAGGCAGCTGCCACACTGGGGGAGCCTGCAGGGTAGCTGGAGACAAGGCTGTCCTTGGTAGGGGGCATGGAAGCTAGGCAGGCAGGTCTGGGGGGTGGGCCTGGCAGGTGGGGGCAGTTGCCCATAGAGGATGGGCTCAAGGGAGCAGATAATGGGGAGCTGGCAAGGTGGAATGGAGGCTCAGCTGCCGGTGGGATCTTCCTGCAGCAAAAAGAGAGCACCACTGTCATGTCAAACAAACAAGAGGGCCTCTCCATCAAATTACACCAGTCTCTCTGCCCCACCTAGATATGGCCCAGAGCCCTGGCATGCTGCCACCTGCCGGGAGACACTGGAACTGAGGGTTAGGAAGAAGGCACAGGGATAGCCGGGCAGGAATGAACTAGGATGGAGACCCACTGAGAACATCATTTAAAATGTTTGCACATCCACTAACCCTAGTTACCTAAAGGCTACTGGAAGTGATGGATAAGAGTTGAGAGTCACTCCCAGACCACCATTCATGCCCTGCCTTAGCCCAACTCCAGGCTGCCAAGTTCCCCCACCTCTTCCCTCAAGCTGGGGTCTTCCTGGCAAGCAGCCAAACCACATCAATGGGTACTTGCGAAGAATTAGGACTTCTGAGGCCCACGGATGCCTGGGGTCTGGGGAGGGAAGTTCTGAGCCCGAGAAACTCACTTCCACATGTGTGAGCTGAGGTGCCTTTCCAGCATGGAGCTCAGTGCCGAGCAGAACCGGTCCAGCCTGCGGCTAAACACATAGCACCCTGGACTCACCAGTCGGCTCCCAAAGGTGCAGAACTGGAGATAGAAGGAAGGTAGATGGTTAGTGGGCCCTGAGATACAGGGTGGGCCTGTATCTGACCTCCCCTCACATTGTGGGTAAGAAGGGCTGGGCCACATCCCCCCCAGGTCCCCACCCCAGGTCCTTACCGCCTGTGGCCTGGGGGGCCGGGTTGCATAATGGCAGTCAGAGGGGAGGTGGAGGTCATCAGATGTCCCTTCCTCCTCACTCTCCTCGCTGGAGGCCTGGGCCCCACCCCGGGGCAGGGGGAAGGGGAACAGGCCTGGGTCCCCATCACCACCACAGGGGCCTTCATCATCCAACTCACTCTCAGAGGAGGCCCGGGACCTGAAAGCGCCAAAGGGGATGTGAGGGCCACGTGACAGGAGTGGGTCAGGGTGGGGGTGTCCCTGAACCCGCCAAGCTCAAAAAGCTAGGGTGACACCCTGCTGGGCCATCAGACAAAAAGGAAGGGAGAGGAAGGGAGGGAACAACAGAGCTCACAGAGTAAGAGCCAGAAAGGTCAGGGGCCACAGCTCCCAAGGGATTCTCTCCCCAGCCCCTTCACTTCCCAGGCCCTGCCTCCTGGGGGTGTAGAGAGGAGGAAATCTGCTCCAGATTCGCCTCCTCCAGAAAATCTTCTGAGTTTAACTGCACCCAGCTCTGGTCAGCCCAGTCAATTGTCTCAACCCCCTTCTTGCATCACATATTCCTGTGAGCCTGTCTGGGAGCTGAGCCTGTGTCTCGTGTCTGCCCCTCGTGTTACAGGCAGAGAGGCGTGTGTGTCTCCTTCGGCAAGGTAGGCTCTCCCCAGGGTCCAGCGCAGCCTCTGCACACGAAGGGGCCAGTGAATGAATACATAGTAGGATGGCTTCGCCCAGGACCCTGACCCTTTCAGTTCCCTGACCCTTTCGGCTCCCCAGTTACGTTTTGGCCTGTTGGAAGCAGCTGGGAAAACGATTTCATCCTGGGTGTTGGAACTGGCACACTACAGAGACTGGGGCACCGTGGTATGCTTGGTTAGAAACAGGGAGTCACCTACTTCACAGGGCCCCAGGTTTCCCCCCACACTTGGGGAGGAGTGAGTAGCACCTTCCAGCACGCTCCCTGGGCCTGTCTCCAGGGGTCCCTGATGGCTTGGGG